AAAAAAAAAAAAGAAAAAAAGAATAGAGAGTAGTTTCTTCGTGTATTATACTAGCTTGTCGTTGAAGACGCCGCGTCTGACGTGTGACTACACGCGAACGTATATTTGTACTCTAGGAGTTTGATAATTGTTGTGAAAGTAGAGGCACAGACGATTCTGACGTGAATCAAGTAAACGTAAGACGAGAAACAAGTCGAAAGTGTTGGATAGCACCTGAATCTATTATTTTGTATATAATCGTTGTAACATAGCGCAGTTAGTCGTTAAGGATAACAAAAAAAATGAAAAGAAAGAAAAAGAAAAAAAAGCGTGCGGCTGTATTATTATGAATAATATTGCTATTATTATTATTATTATTATTATTATTATTATTACTATTATTATTATCATCATCATCATCATCATCATCATCATTATTATTATTACCGTGACAGTTATCATCATTATGATTAATTATTAATTATTATTATTTTATTATATTTAAATTGCACACGAACAAGATGAGAAAATATATGAAATCACAAAATTCGAACGAACAGTTTTTTCATTCCAACTCCTTCCCCCCTCTATTTAGATGTATCTAATTAATTTTACGAAACCGAATCTCGTTTAGAATTTTCCAAAAATAATAAAATTTTATAATCACTTTTCTTTCACGGATTTATGGAGAATTTAAAAGTGCTAAGATTCACATAATATGACAAGTTATATAAAATATCCAAAGTACATTGCTTTCAACAATATTTGATATGTGAAATATTGGAGAGATTCAGTGCTACAATATTAAAGTCTTACATTAGAACTTTTGTCATCAAAGCTGTTTCTTTTTTTCTTATTTTGTCACGTGCATATAAGTTAAAAAATAGTAACTAAACATTAAAAGAGAGATCCTTGAAATAAAAAAAAAATCTTATTTTTCAATACTATTGTCACACAGTTTCCTGCTGCACTGGACCTCTTCGATTTTCTATCGAGATTCTATTGTGTTCTTTAATTGCGTCCTTTAATTCGCAGTCTAATGATCAAGTGTCAACAATTTGACAGATTATATATATATTTTTAACCCTCACGTTTTTCTCGCTACCGCGTGCAATCGATCGTGCAGCGGTCGAGCAAAACGCGCAATTTCCTTCGTCTCGTGTGCCCGCGCTCCCGAATTAAAAGATCTTTCGCAGCTCGGATATGCGTGCCGTGATCCGCGCGAAGATACGCGATCTTTTCCTTTCATCCGTCGATGCAATCTTTTCACGAGAGGGGAACTGTGGAAAGATCCATCGATCCTACGCTCTATGAACGAACAATGAACGCAATTGACACTTCTGGCCGTGGAACGAGAAACGTGGGCGTGAGGAGGTGGTCGCGAATCGGCGGCGCCTTGACGTACTTTAATATCACGAACAAAGAGGATAGAATGATCGAGTCCCCTTTAACAAAGGAGGAAAGGGCAGAGAGGCAAGTTACCTGCCTCTCTCTCTCTCTCTCTCTCTCTCTCTCTTTCTCCCTTTTCCTTCCCTCTAGGTAAGGATCGTTTCTTCGAGGCACCATAGGTAATGCAGCCTTTTCCCATCTGGCTGTTGCCAACGTTGTAGCGGCCTCGTTCCATCAACCGGTCCTGTCTCTCTCTCTAAGTCCCCCTTTTCTCTCTGTTCCAGCTACCTACCACGGCTCCTCGCCACCTGTCTCCTCCTTTCCTCTCCCTCTGCCCTTAGGAAAACTCGCCTCCCTCTCCACGATTCCAATAAGGCTGCCGCCTCGTACCGCGCTTTCCACCCTCTCTCTTTCTGCCTGTTACCGCTCTTCTGGC